TTTATAAGGGTTGTGTGTGCATGTAAATGGTCTGCAAAGTCAAAAATCCCAAATCCCCCCCCACCTGCCTGAAACGCATCCATTTGTATATATCCGTAACATAGTGACATCTCAATGTAACCATCGGGCTTCTATTGGCTAGCGCTCCAACACATTGTAAGTGATAGGCTAAGGGGCTAAGGGGCAGGGGGGGGTTAGCCGGACAGCTAACCAATCAGAGCAGACTGGGCTCTGGTTTCAGACAGAAGGTGAAAAGAAATTGTTGAAGTTTAGAAACACTATGCAGTACATTGGAAGACATGAACATCTACCGTCCTTAAATCCTGACTAAGCGAAAAGCAAATTTAAATTTCTGTTGGAAATTCATAGAGGTATGGAGCAGATAATTCATGGCAGCCTCGGATCTTAAATCACATTTCCCTTTCTATACGATCTCTCTTTCAATGCTTCTCTAATTGTCTAATGGTTCCTCTCTCTGTGTCTCTCCTTTCAAATGACTTCACCCACTTTCTCTATCTGCATCCCTCTTTATCTCACAAAACACACACTCTTAAACACACACCTGTGAAGGGGGAACCCCAGGACTGTTCTACCAACTGTAACTGCTCAGCACTACTGCAGTGTAGTGAATACACACAAACACACACACACACACACACACACACACACACACACACACACACACACACACACACACACACACACACACAATATTTAAAATCAACAAAAGCAATGTTTTCTTCTATTTTGCAATACTTTATGATAAACACAGATTTAAAAAATGTCACAAATACTTTAATTTAAATGTTTAGGTCAGCAAGTTCATAGTAAACCGTAGGTATGTTAATGCGAAGCTGAATGTATCAACAGCTGTTAGCTTCCTGCCTGCTTAAGAGGATTATTGCCCTGTTAGCCCAACATGTTTTTAACGTTTCATAACCTGAATGGCATTTTCTATACGTGTTACATTCAACTATTTTTATTCTTCATCTATTTCTTAACTCCAACAAGGTGACATCAAAGCATGACACGTATACATCCCATATACACACACGATGCTTTAATTAAAACAATCTAATGCAGGGATCATATAACAATCAGCATTGAGTTGGCATTTTTACCTCGAATTTAAGTGACAGCAGCTTCTCATTATGAGGGATCTCTTTAGGCCGCCCTCTCAGAGATTCCTGCAAGAAAAACAGAAAAAAAACGAAATCACCAAACTGAAACTGACTTCTAAGCTCTGAATCATGTGAGGGACTGCAAGGAGCTGGGAGGAAAAAACATTCTGATGCAACACACAAGCATTTGAAACGACACATACAAACATCTATTACTCTCAAAGATCACTACCGGAGAGAGGACATGCTTTACAGACTTCATCTAACAGATACAGGAGCATTCATAATCGAAGATGCATGCAAGCCAACTACAGTCAAATAAAAAGTCTAATCTATTCCACATTTGAATGCGATTTGAAGTGAGCGTCGGTCGCACAATCAGCAGCGAATAAAGCAACTACGCAACACATTTGCGTAAACAGACTACAGACAAATGCTTTTATTTGCGGCAAACGAAAGACGTGCAAGACACATGCATGGCATCACATTCCCGTCAGGCAGTGAGAACAGATCTGAATCTGATGGCTTCTGTCACAGGAGGAAATGGATGTCCTGTCAAGCTAAGAGACTGAAAAGTGGCTCCAAGCTGCATCTGTTATGCTGAATTTAAATAGCTTATTGTGTGTTTTCTTTGTATTTCTGGGGAGATTTTTGATGCCTGATTGAATTGAGCTATACAAGTAAAATAACATTAAACAATCTTTGCTTTTCTTTTGTAACCTAAAAGGACTTAGCTGCATTTGTTGTGCAACCCATTGTTGTAAAAGGTCAGTAAAGGTCACTAAGTAGAACCTGACTAAGATATGCTAATTCAAAACGTATTATCGGTACTGAATAAATGGTGTGTTACTCAATCTGTTTTTTTTTCTTAAGCTACCAGTGTGTGGGACCAATCAGTTTCTGAAAACTAAAAACTGAATGGTCAGGCGGTCAGTGTTTAGCACAAGGCCTGCCTCAGTTCATCATTTGCGATGCATCACAGTGGAAACCTTCAGACAGTTTCCAAACACGTGTTCTTACCCACTGGATGAGTCAAACATCCTTATTAGAGGTCACTTTTGTGTCAAGAGTTCCCATAGAAGGCCATATTAAGCAGGGAGCTACTGAGATAACATTAAATGCATGAAATAGATTTTTTATAATTACAGAGGGTTAACTAACTACACTAAGGAAGTCTAGAGGAAATGGCGGTAGCAGTCTTCATGAGGTGATATCGATAGAGGAGTGACAGACACAGAGAGAAATAGTTCGGCGTTGTTCTCGGGCTTTACCTCTTCAGACGTCATCTCCTCCTCCAAATCCACCGTGCTCAGTCTGCCTACCTGAAATATACCGCCTCTCGACAGCTATAGACACCACAAACACCAACACAAATATATATATATTTATATATATATATAGGGCTATTGTGTAGCCATTTTCAAGCTGATGCTTTAACATGTTGGATACCCAGATAAGAGCGACAGGGTTCGAGAAGTATAAGGAAATAACACTGCATGTATGATACAATAAAGTACATTTTGTTCAAATTTCCAGCTTGAATCCTAAAGGAAATGAGTAATCCTGGTGACACGGAGAGGAAAAAGGAAGTAGGATTCTCCATATTAGGCGGACAGAGGACGTTATTTAGTCTAAATATAGCAGGTCTACTAGTTAGGGACACTGTCAGTTTGAGACTGTTGTTTAATACTATTCTGTTCACACTAACATACTAAAATAAAACTTATACTGGATATAAACAGTATCCATAACAGGCTCAGATTACCTGCAATTATGTGAACACTGATTTTATTACTTTGAGAATGGACTTTCTTACTCCGATTCAGGAAATGTAACAATCATCATCCTTTCTAAAGTAATGACTGACATGAGGTTAAGTTATTATTCTCGATAACTGTGTCCTTATACGAAGCTGCCAGACTGCCTGTTTTAATTGTACGTAACCTAGTAATAAAGATAAATCACTAGCTTCTTAATATAATGAAAGGACTAGCCTTTCAAAACTCTCAATAATCTGATTATTTTCCCTAGATAACAATCGAATTACAAGCAGCATGTTGTAAATTATTGAACTAACACTAATTTAATTACTTTCATGCAGCAAACAAAGCGTGTTGTTGCATCTGAAATGCAAAGACACCATAACACGCGAAAACACAACCAAAAAAGAAATCAACAATGCATAAAAAAATCTTCACAAGCATTCATAACCCATGCAGCATTTAGAAACATGACTCAGTATAACCTTATTGGTTAATAAAAACATGACACAGCATCTTCTGAACACTTTAGGTACAGCGGTGGAAGAAGTACTAGAAAAAGTCCTGCATTCAAAATGTTACTCAAGTAAATATAGAAAAGCATCATAAATACTTAAAGAAGCAAAAGTTAAAGTACTCATTCTGCAGATTGGGCCATTTCAGAATAATATATATGTTTTATAATTATTGATCATTAAAGTGTTATCAAAGCTGGTAAAGGTGCAGCTAGTTTGAATGACTTTGTATACTGCAGGGTAGCTTGTGAATTTACTCCAGGTGGAACTAAAGTCTTATTCAAGTGTTGATTATATTTCACATCATTAATCCAAATCTGTAAAGTAACAAAAAGGTATTAATAAATGTCGTTGAGTAAAAGTACACTATTAACCTTTGAATTGTAGTTGGGTAGAAGTACAAAGTAGCAAATAAAGGCAATACTCAAGTAAAGTACAAGCACCTCACCATTGCACTTAAGTACAGTAGGCTACTTGAGTAAATGTACTTAGTTACTTTACATCACTGTTTGGGACTAACAGACGTCAGGGTGGCTAAGCTAACATGCTACAGCGGTACCTGTCTGGAGGGTCGGGGCTGCTCAGAGCCGTTCAGCAGCGGGGTTCCCTCCGCCGTGGCCCCGGACTCGTCGGCCCGGCTGGACCACGACACTTTCTTCGTGATGTTGGCCATGGTGGCTCCCGGTAGTTCGGTGCCCTGACTTCCGCTGATTTATTTCATTAATTTCAGTTGTGGCTGCCTCACTGTACACTGTTATTCTTTCTCAGCTTCCCATGATCATCATGTGACACTTGTAAGGATCGTGTGAAGGGCCAAACAGGTCTGGCGCGCTGGATGCTGGGAAATGTAGTTTGTTGTTCTTTTTATAAAACAAAAAATGTGTCACTGGATTAGATTTACACTTTTGACTGTACCTTGTAATTTCATTTAGTATAGAAACCAACTAGAATCCCACATCTTGTCTGCTAGGTTTTTTGATAATGTTGTGGCAAAATAAAAATTCATAATAATACATTACCTTTATATAGCTTTTTTCTACTCAAAGTCGCTTTATAAAAGTACAATTCAAACAAAAAACAAAGATAAAATGAAGTAAATGAGAACGTATTTAACAGGGAAAGGCAAGTCTGAAGAGGTGGGTTTTGAGGGCTTGTTTGAATGATAGTGGTTGATTGTCTGTTGTGGTGCCGCACCTATCACCCCAGGTCCGGAGCTTAGTCCTTCTTGTCTTTAGGGTGTTTGCACCTTGGACCTGAGGCATCATGGAGAAGTTTAAAAATGCCTTTTCTACAGTAAGAACATAATTTACATACATGTCAAACTTTCAAAGATGTATTTTATGACCAGAATATCACTTTATACATGGTTATGGTGCCACATTATTAAGTAATAATTCCAAGTCCCAGCACAGATGTTAAGTTAAAAAAAGCGAACATAAAGGGCTCCTCAATAATAAATTACAGCAGTGGTGCTGTCAAACCTTTATCTACTTTTTGAAGAATTAAACTCATCCATTATATTTGATTTTGACAAAAGATAAAGTGTTTTTGGAGTTTCAAGGTTCTACTGCAGGATTTTAGTTTTATGAATAATGCATCTTGAGTCCAAATAGCACATTTTATTACATTTCAACTTTGATTCTACAGTTTAATGTTAACAAGGCATTGTCAATGATTAAATGGCAACACTATCCAAAACCCTGCACAATTGAAACAGTCTTACCTGATCCACATACTACAATAAAATATTTTTGTCAAGGAACTGATGAAAATGAATATCAAATCATGTACTAGAACACTTGTGTATACACATTATTATTCTAAGATCCTTGGTAGTGTTTAACACTTAATAATTTTGCATATCAGTCGGAACAGTCCCAGTTTTGGTTGATCAGAAACAACATACTGCTTGATATACTTCCAACACGTATTAAAGGGGCCCTATCACGCTCATTTTCAGGTTCATATTTGTATTTTGTTTCTCTTTTGTGACATGTTTACATGCTTTAATGTTCAAAAAGGTCTTTATAAAAACGCAAGTGTTACGGAGTGATGTCAATATGTCGCTGAAATAAACAAAGGCATCCTATGGAGGCATTTCAGAGGGAGTGAGAGAGAAATTCCCTCTTGAGTGATCTTCAGGATTTTAGCCAAAAAAGCATAATAGAGAAGATAAAGTGTTTGCATGGCCGGTTAAAAGGCCAGCAATGAAAGCATTCCCTACCGAAATAATGTTTTGGAAAGAAACTCTCTATATGAATCCTCCTCTGTAACTTGATCACACACAGTGCTCTAAACATTCACATGCCACCTGCTGCACCTCCCCATGCACCTCCTTTATGTCCTCCATGCCGAGCACCACCCCTCTGGGCAAACCTCTTCCTTCTGCCACCCCTTCAACCTCTGAAGCACTCAGCACCCGGTTCCACATCCTGAACCCTGCTATCTGACCGGCAAAACCCTCCGCAGAGTCAAACCCTCCTCCCACAACGTCCTGCTCCTGCCCCAACACCACGGACCCTCCCCCAGGTATCTCCCAGCCCTTTCTGAAGTGAGAGCCTGAGGAGGTGAGGCGCCGGTCAACGTAGTGCCAGAAACGCCCCTGGATGGAGGACCACACGACGCAAAGGTGGTGCCAGCGAGCGTCCATCAGCGACGACGCGGGGAGACGACGATACACTGGGTCTCCAATGATGAAGTCCAGAGAGGAGGAGGAAGAAGCAGAGATGGATGCAGAAGAGGCAGAGGAGTTACGTCCATACAGAACTAACTGGTTGTCGTTGTCGTCTGTGGCGTAAGAGAGCAGTGTGCCGACATGGGAGGCTTCCACACGGAGCCACAAACACACAGAAAGTTCAAGAAGGTTGGGAAAAGTCCGGAAGAAGGTGACGAAGTTGTCTGCTGATGCCGAGGGGAAGAGCAGCAGGGAGTCCACGTTACAGACTGCAGAAAGACAGGATATATTCAGTATAATAAAACCCTAGTGCTAAAAAGTAAAATTTAAAAGACAAGCGATCAGAAATGAGCTATGCAAATGAGTCCCCTAATACACACAATATACAACACAATTCAATAAAACTGCAGACCCCTCTAGCTTCTGAAAAATCCCTGAAACAGTAATACCCATTTACAGCTTGTACATTATTTTAACACCTCGTTTTTTTTCAACAGTCACAAATGTTACGATGAATAAAAGGCTGTCATTATTTTTTCATTGAGGTCACAGATTTGAGGTGGTATTATTCTGCAAATTGGCTTAGTAGGCTGTTGTCATCTATTGGTAGTAAGTAATTAAATTAGTTAACTTACATTTGTCGGATAGCTTAAGTCATGAACGTAGCCTACTGTATTTAACTGAAAAACACATTATTTACCTAAATCTAACCAACAAGTTTAGGTTCAATTCACATTTTTAACCTAGTGTTTAACACTGGAATTGTACGTTTCTGCTTACCCTGTCTAAAGTATTGTAATGTTAGGATGACTATGGATAATTGCCATTTATTGGGCAGATAACATTTAAATTGCAAGGATTAAACAAATGAGATACAACATGTAAGATAGATTTTGTACTTATGGGCAGAACCATGCTGCCAATTTGACCACCTTCTTTGTTAATTTAAATGGGAATGTCTGTTTAACTTCCATTGTATTTCTGTGGTTTCAGTGTCGTTTGTCCGGAGAAGACATGTCGTGATTTGGCTGAGGTGCAACATGTTCATACTGTGATTATTTTGGAACCTGTTAAATAAATACCTCAAGTTTCGTGAAGTATATGACTTACTGGTTGCATCCTTTTTAGGAACAGGTCGTGAAGGGATCTTGTGCCTCACAGGAAGCTGGAGGAAGTTATGGATCACTGAAGACTCTTCCTTTGTGTCAGTTTCTTCCTGAGTCTCAGATTTGGGTTGAGGGATATCATCTGAACCTTTAGGCGGTGGAGGCCACGGACTGGTTGTACTCTGCCTGACTTTGCTAGGTTCAGGATAAGTTGGAGAATGGGGCAGGGGCTGGGTCCAATAGGACCAAGTGGGGTTGTGTAACTGGGGGTGTCTCTGGCGATATAACTTAGGCTGGTATCTTTGTCGTACCTGGGTATGAAGATTAGGCACAGACTGGATCTGCTCCTGCCGGATCGGGTAAGGTCTTTTCTGGGCCGGCACCTGGATGTGGGACTGGAGACCGTAAGAGTCTGGTTGGGGCGAGTAATGCAGATGAGATTCTTGCTGAGGTTTTGACTCCTTTGAATGTCTTCGGTTTATTGGTACTGACGGGTATTGAAAGGGACCTTCTACTATGGGTTCGGAGTCCAGTCTCAATCTCTCTCTCCCTCTATGTGTCTTTGATCTCCTGCGTGGTTCATAGTGTTCCTGAGATGTGATGTTGGAGTTGAACAACTCTTCCGCCCTCCACAGCGCTCCACCATCACTCTTCTGCAAGACCTGACCCTCCAGTCGGGTCAGACGCAGCGCCTGGTTCTTCAGGGATTCCTGCAGCCCTTTCAGCCCAACGATCAGCTCGTCTCGCTGGATCTGAAGGGCACCGAGCCGTTCGTCTTGGCTCTGGAGCTCCAGGGTGAGGTTGGGGATATCCTGACCAGGATCGGGCTTCTGTTTCTGGGCATGGCGGCGGTTCTCCCTCAGGTTCCTCTCCATGAAAGCAAGACGACCCTCCATACGTTTACTCTTCTTCTCCAGCTTCCTACTCCACTCCCTGGGATGATGAGCAACATGAGAAGACTTTTTTTGAATGTTATATTCTTTATTTATTGTACTTGTCGAAAATGCATCATCTGGTACAATCAGACCTGGTCCAACTTCAAATACAAAATAAAACATATATTTAGGCTATGAATCAACAGGTTAGATCTTCATAAATGAAAAAGGAAATGTATTTTTTGTCCATTGGGGTGTAAAGGTTGTTCTGTTTATCATTACTTCTCAAAAGAACAGATGCCAAAACATAAGCCCTCCCACTCAAGACTAACAATTCTCCCTTGACCCAGCCCTAATGTTTTGACATAATTTATTATTAAGAAGATTTCATTTCTGTCATTTTTCTGTCCTCTTTTCCAATCTTTTCTCAGCCCCCCACAAATCCTTTCTTACCAAAAACAACAAGCAGGGATTTGTCACAGATGAATCGATTTACAGATATATTTACAGAGCTCCCTTTCTTAGTTAGTGTTCCCAAGCTCTGACCTGAGACCCTCTATCTCCTGCGTTGAGCTCCGCTTGAGTTGATCCAGGTCTTCTGACAAGTGTTGCCAGTTTTCGCTTAGTGCCTTTACTTGGCTCTCCAATCCCCTCGATGAGTTTCTGTTCTGGTTCTGGGCCAACATGTTCAAACGGGCCTGGGTCAGCGCCTGGAACTGCTGGAACTAACAGAGAGGAAATTTGTTTTCACAAATCTTTCTGCAGCTGTTGGTGACTCATTTGAAGGTCAGAAAAATACTGAAATACATCCAGAAGAAAAAACAAGCATACAATGGATTCCTGTGATGACTTCTACCTTCTGAAAAATCATGATGCTTGCAAGAGTTTTTTGCTATTTCAGTAAATGAATAAGCAAAAATATCTGACCTACAGAGAGTAAATCAGTGTTTTTAGCTTTAATATGATCTCTTTCAGAACTTTTAAACATTAGAAATAAAATGTAAGCCAAAAGTCCTTAAATAACGTGAATTTTCCCACACAGTCTCATTTAAGCTGACCTGTTCGTTGAGTCGTCGTAGTTTCTGCGTCACAGGATCAACTCCCTGCACCTTAACGGGCTGAATCTGCAGCAGGAGCATGAGGACCAGGATCAGGGACCAGTGTCCGGGCCTCAGGCTGCCCATGGTGCAACGGAGCTGAGATAGATGCAGCAGGAAGCCTGGGTCTGGATGTCTGACAGTGAGGAAACAAATGCTACTAGAGAAAGAAAGACATAGCTGAAAAGGGCTCGTCTTGATAAACACTGCATACACACACATGCACACAGATGTACAATACACAAAAGCACACCCACAAACTGGGGCAGGAACACACTTTTCCATTTTCCACAAAATCTTCAGGGACCTCAGAGGGAATGCAGATGGATTTAACAGGTACTCTGCTTCTCTCTCGGCCTCTATCTCACTTTTAGATAAAAACAAAGAAAATAAACTCCTAAAAACAGCACACCAACTGGAAGTTTGTTAACTGAATGTTGAATTGATAACGTTTTAGTCTTTCAACCTTTTGTTATGTCGTCCCGTCCAATTTTGGTGCTCCGGTGTAGCTATCCATTAAGGAACTTCTTCACCCAACCCTGTGTTTCACCTTTTATAGTAACTTTAATTAAACTTTTTTGTAAACGGAGAAAAGGTTAAATATGTTTGACTATAGTTAAGAACAGAGCAAACAAAGGAAATGGCTAATCAAAAACTTTTTTTACAATATTTTTATTGAAGTTTTCAAATACGGACGTTACACATACATACAATAACGAACATTACACATACATACAATAAAATAATGAAATAATCAAAGACTTCTAAATGTCAAAGTCTTATCAAAAATGCAATCAAAATTGAACCGGGAAGACCCCAGATGCTATACATTTAAATAAAATGCCCATAATTCAATGTAAGTAGTGACAATTATTTTTTCTTGCAAAGAAGGTGAAGAAACATCTATGTAATTTTCAGCTCAATAATATTTGAAGAACCCTTTTTTCTGACAAAAAAACATAATTTGGAAGGACAACAGGAGTGTTAATGCTTTATGTCTGTACGATTGATTGTTTGATAAGGGAAGGCTGTGGCTCAGTGGGTTACTGCTCAGTGGGTTAGTGTGCTGATCTTCGAATCAGAGGATAGCAAGTTTGAGTCCCACTGCAGTCAGCATGTCGCTGTATCCCGGGGCGAGACACTTCACCCCAAATTGCTCCTGTGGGGATTGTCCACAGTACTGAATGTGTGTAAGTCGCTTTGGATAAAAGCGTCCAACAAGTGACATGTCATGTAATGATAAAGTGTATATTTGTATTAATGTGTATGTTTGTATACTTGTGTAGTGCCAATGCAACAGTAAATCTCATGATGTGTGGGCTGATGGAGAAGAAGTCAGTACTTTTCTCTTCCCCCTAACTCATTGCAGGGGGATCTAGATCCTTTATTATTCTTCTGCTTTCTCATTGAATAACACAATCTAGGAATCATGTTTATTCCTCCCTTCTGCTTTCTACACATGATCACGTTGCAACACTTTGGCTTCATTTACTGCACACTGGGCTTCAAAAAAGTTCATGTGTGTTCTAATTTACAGTAAATTGTATATTTTAGTGGGAATGCTGATACAGCATTCCAACTATCTGTTATAAACCTGTTAAGCCCCAAGCCTGTTTTTCAGGTCTCAGGCTCGAAAATGACATTTCCAGAACAAATGACCATAACTACACTTCTAAAAGGGGAAAATGAATTCTCAAAGTAATGATAAACCTGTGAGTTGGATGTAGAAGAGTCAGAATCAATAAAGATGCTTTTTATTTTAAAGAAAATTCAGATTGAACATTGTAAAAAACTGGAATTATTTTTTACTTATAGTGAAAACTACCCTTGGATGATGGGTTAGTAGACTAAAAGCTTTAGGAATCCAAAGTACAACATATAATAAGTACCCTGTATCTATATTGATAAAAAACAAGTGACATTTGACCTTTTTAGAGATGTTTAGCAAAAGAAACTCCACCTCTGGGGTCATTTGGGTGGAAATGGGCGATTTTGGCGTTTCTCTGGAACCCATTGGTCGGTTTTGATGATTGACATCTCTTTTGAACCGTTAGAGCCAATAGAATCGAAGGGGAATTTCCACATACACACCAACGTTAGCATTGAGAAGTGGGGGCTATGCGCTCGCAGTTTTACGCTCTGAAATCTGAAAATTTAAAACTAGGTTTATTGCTGATGGATTATCAGAAATAATTTCAAAGTGACACAGACACATTGGATTAACCTATGGATTAACCTTCAGCAGCGTTTTTATCGTTTTAATGCCATTGAAGACAACTTTTGATCAGACAACAACAGAGGTAAGACATATTGCCGTGTTTGCTACCTAATGCCACATGTTGTGATGTCTGTTTTTGTTTCTAATGTAGCGAGTTATGATCATGGAGTGATGATATAGATACCTATCGATTTTGTGTATTCTCACAATGCTAATCGATATGTTGGATGTGCAGTTACGATTAGTAATAAGGGTGTTATACTGTGAGTTCTGTGCTAACGGCGTTAGCATTTTTTCGCTTAGGGCTAATTCAGAGGCTCAGCGTTAGCCTTGTGTTTTTCTTTGCTAAAAAAAAAAAAGTTAGCTGAGTTTCTTCCCGTTACATGGATATGAAACATTCATAGTTTATTCAATCTAAAGAAGCCCTCAGACACTGTTGCTTGCAGATGTTGTGGTTTCGGACCTGACGAAGGGTCCGTGGGGCTTA